CTTTAGATTGCTCTTAGTCTCTTCTTGTCGAATCCTCGAGGCAGAGGATTTTTTTGGAAGCTAATTCAGAGGATGGGGTAGAGGGCTGCTCATGTCTTATTGAAGGCTAAGGGGAGGATCAGACTCTTCTTTTGAAGATTGAGACAGCTCAGTCCTCACTTCTTGAAAGCTATCTCTCTTCTATCCCTTGAGGAGGAAGAGGGGACGACAAGGAGCTCCTCTCTCTTCTTGTCGACTGAGAGGCAGCCGGAGTTCTTTTTTCCCGTGAAGTTGGAAGGGTTCTCTGCTCATTTGAAATGCTGCGGTAGAGGATGTGCCAAGGGATCTCTTCCTTACCCTTTTGGGGAAAAGAAGCTCATTTCTTGCGGATGACGAAGCAGCGAGCTCCCTTCATTTATCGTCAGAGGAGATGGTGGGAGGAAGCTCTCAGTGATTTCTTGTGGAGGATGAGGTAGAAAATCTTTTTTTTGGAAGCTAGGGGAGCTCTATCCTTTCTTGCTAGGAGCGAGGTCTCCTCAATCTTCTTAAGACGAAAAGGCGACATACCAAGAGGTAAGAAGGATGCTCTCTTCTGTTGCCACAAATCACCTTGGGACTCCCTTCTTGTGTTTTGGAGCATGAGGTCTTTTCCTTTTAAATGCTGAGGGATGACCAGATGTCTCTACTTGAAAATTGGGGGAGCTCCACCCTTTCTTCTTGAGCGTCCTCCCCTTTTCAAGAAAGAAAGGAGGTCTCTTCTTGCCGAGGGGTAAACGGAGCCCTCTTCTTTCTCGTGAAGTTGGAGCGGCCTGTTTGCTTTGTTGAGATGGCACTTTCTTCTGCCCCTTTAGATTGCTCTTAGTCTCTTCTTGTCGAGGATGAGGCAGAGGATTTTTTTGGAAGCTAGTTCAGAGGATGGGGTAGAGGGCTGCTCATGTCTTATTGAAGGCTAGGGGGAGGATCAGACTCTTCTTGTGAAGATTGAGACCAAGCCGCCGAAGAGTCTGCCGGCGACTTCTCGCTCGAAGCGCTGGCCTGGAAGCCGCATATCGATCAGAACGATCGGCGGCCGCGTTGGCCTTAGCGCGGGCTCAGCCACGACATTTCAGCATCGCACACGAAACCCGGACAGCTCAGTCCTCACTTCTTGAAAGCTATCTCTCTTCTATCCCTTGAGGAGGAAGAGGGGACGACAAGGAGCTCCTCTCTCTTCTTGTCGACTGAGAGGCAGCCGGAGTTCTTTTTTTCCCGTAAGTTGGAAGGGTTCTCTGCTCCTTTGAGATGCTGCGGTAGAGGATGTGCCAAGGGACCTCTTCCTTACCCTTTTGGGGATAAGAAGCTCATTTCTTGCGGACTTGCGGATGACGAAGCAGCGAGCTCCCTTCATTTATCGTCAGAGGAGATGGAGACTTACAGGGAGGTAGAGGAGCTCGCTGCTAGGAATCAGCTGAATGATTTGGAGGGACTTTCTCCGTGTTTTCGTTGAGGGTTGGGGGGAATCTCCACCCTTTCTTGATCCGTCTGTCTACATTCCAAGGAGCCCCACCAATGTCGATGAGGCGAGACGAAAGATTCTATACTTGTATTGAGTATGTATAGAGAGACGTCGGTCCAGTACAATCGCGATATACCTACGTCTATAGTATGCAATGAAAACCCACAGTTTCAGCTGGCGACTATATCCTGTTTAAGCCGGCCACACCCCCCCCCCCCCTCCCTCCAACCCTTGCCCTCCCTCCTGGTCTGAATTGGCCTTTTGGTTGCCCCGGAAACCTGGACAACCCCTGAACCGGATTGCTGCGTGTAGAAAAACACGGTGGTGAGACCAGGCACTGCAAGTTGCCTTTGTTTGCCCCCCTTGTGAGTTCGTAATCAACCTCTACAACTACATCGCATGGTGTTCATGCCCAAATATGAGAGGCCCCGCGCAGGTTTGAAACAGATGCACTGTTATCCGTGCAACGGTGTAGTCTCGGATAAAGATTCTATCGTCATCCGGATGATTCGAGAAAGCAGTGTAAATGAATTGTAAAATAAAAGTAAGTCCAAGCTTGCTAAAAGAACAATGATCCCAAGGAAGTCGTAGAAAAAAAGTATTAACCACAGATTCGGCAAAACATAATTATTGTACATATTCTGTAAATATAACTATTTGCAATAACGAACGTACCTCTCGCAGGGATTACAAAGTCATAAACGTACACTTTCTCGAAGTGGAGCAGCGATGCCAGCGACATGTCTTGGGGATCTGGACATGGATGCAGAGTTGAGAAGTCCTACTATCACGATCAAACACGAAAGGCTGCTTTACCGTAAGTAGCAAAGGTCCGGGGTCCAACCAAGGGTAATGAGGGGACTCAACGATTGGGTGGTCCGAATGTCCCCAATTTGTCAAATTCAGTTTTAGGATCAACCCGCATGGTTGAGCGTTTGGAGTTGCTTCTGCTTGCAATGTCCAAGGTTCAGGTAGTCTCAGCAGACCTTCACCTTCCTAAGACAAGCAAAGCAAAGACAAAAAAGCCAAACGACGGAAGCGCATCAGCAGGGTTGTGTTGGGCAATCTTGATCGCATCGTTGTAGCAATCAAAACCAGAAGATGCACATGAACGGTTTTTTGCAGCCTGGCCGATGCTGAACTGTGCTTCCGTTGATACGCCTGTTGTTTCAGTTGGCAAGAGATGAGCCGATGGCACCGTCTTCAGAAGCTGCTGCAGGCGGCGACATGTGTTTCTCAGTTTCTCGCTCAACCACATTCTGCCGCAGCTTGCAGTCTCTGGGCCTAGGATGTGCAGTATAGATTTGAGCTTCATGTCATGCATAACTGGCTGAGCATGTACGCAAAGTCTTGGGATTTGACAGCACAGCCAGTCATCTCATGAAGTGTGAGGACAGGCAAGCATGTGTGGGCGGCATAAGTCAAGATTTGGGAGCCGCAGCGTGCACAACACTTACCATGCTCCTGTCAGCCATGCAAATCTTTCTAGCCCGGCTACATGACGACCGGATCACGGAGAAATCTGACGTATCCCTTCCTGGGTCACTCGGCACATGAACTTGGCATTAACTCTCTTTGCCGTATACTCCGGAGTTATGGAGAGCTGAGACCTGAGAGAAGGATGATTTAGGGTCAGGGTGGTTTCTCTTCAGGAATCTTGCCTTGGAGCTGTTGTTGGAACCCCTTGCCTTGCCGACTGCGTACGAATCGAAACTGGACGAAGCCCGAAGCCGCAGTCCGTTTAAAAATCCAGGCGGGATTGAGCGAGTTGACACCGGCGGAACGAGTGGCTCATCCAGTGCTTCCAGGAGACAAACGGGGATTACTGATGCGGAACCTGAACCCTCACCTCGCCTACCACTCCCGGGCTGCGAATGGCAAAGAAGCGTGTGTGAAACTTGTTCTTTGTGGGTAGCTTGCTCCTTTGGATATGATGCTTTGTTCGGTTTCAGCGATGCCAAAGTATGTCTCGTACTTTCCTACCGTCTACTGGTACCCACTGCTTACCGAGAGGGCTCCTCTTGCAGTGTTTTGACTCAGAGGTAGTCCCATGTACTGCACCAATTCAGTATAATTCAGTGCAGGATGTAGGCTGGCCCTGAGTCAAGGAGATTCTTAACATCGGGTGTCGGCTTTATTTAGGGTCGGGGGGCTTTGGGTTTAGGGTGGTTTAAGGTGTGGGTTCATCGATGTCTAGGCCTGAGAAGCCAAAATCCCAAGCCATAAACCATAAAGCAAAAGAAACCTAAACTCGAAGTCGTAAGTAGGAAGCCCACCGGCTCCTCTGCGCATGAGACAACCGCCGCTTGTCCAAACAAATACTGCCCCCCAAAACCGCAGAAGCAGCAAGCTCCTGCGTAACATGTCGGTACTGTAGCTGTTTATGAACTTATCATGTATGTATCCATTCATTGTCCGTTTCTTGGATTTTGACAATTCCACCTTTTTGCTTGCTTTCACATCTGTCTACACACGCGTTTTCTACACATGCATATATACACGCGTACTCACTCACCTATACATCCACCGCCCCTTCATTCTCACACATTCACTCTGATGGGCACCCGTATCCGTCTGTGTCTGCTAAAACTTGCACCCGGACCCCAAAACAGTAAATCCCGCAGCCTGAGACTCCTGAGCCTCTGGCTTGACTCTAGCTCCAACTTGAGAGTTTCTTTCGGTGGCGGGGAGTCCGCCGGAGCCCATGGAGTTGAACCCGGGCTGGAAGCATTTCAGCTGAGCTTCGGCGTGGGCCTTTCGGATTCGGGGTATGGTTTGTTTGGGTCTTGGCTTCCGTTTTGTGGGAGCCGCGAAGTACGGCGTGGTCTGCCCCAAAACCCGAATGCCGTGGGTTCGCAGGACACTTGATGATAGTGTGGCTCGCACCCTTTCCTGCGACTCCTTATCACTCCTCATGCCTATGCAATCCTTGTAGTTAATCCCGACATGCAACTCAAGATTGAGCAGCTCCAAACATGCTTGTTCGCCTTTGGTTTTGCTGTTATGATTTCCAGCATCCGTATTCGTATGAGTCGTTTCGATTGTCAGTGTATTTGCGGACCTGCGCCTAAAAGCGAGCAACGTGGTCGTGGAAGACGCTCTGTTTGCCTTATCTAGCCGAGCTTCAACGTTTCTGTACTAGTACTACTTGGTGGGGGTCCTTTGTTCGATTTTGTTCACTTTGGATAAACTTGCGACTTTGGACTCAAGATGTAGGACCTTGAATGTGATATCTTATCATTGTCTCTGCTTTCTGGGAGAAGCTGCGTGTGCATACGTACAGTAACAGACTCGATTTCAAGAAATGCTACGCCATCCAGAATCGCGTGTGACCGTGAGGTGACGTGGCCAGGACACCAGCACGTTGTGAGCGGATGAAGTCTGTGTGGGGCCAAAGCATCTCACCCATGGTGACACAACTGACGTTACACCAACATGTTGCTCAGGGCCGTGTGTGGACTCGCAGATTGCAGGAGGTTGCCGCTCACGCAGGTTTTGGTCCGAGGCAGACGTTCATTTCCAAAGCATGCCTACCTCCTATTGGGAGTGCAATCGCTGTGGGCTGGTTGTGGAGAGACCGGGGTGGTGGATCCAGACCCGCGGTCCATGCGAACATCAAGCCGCACATGGATGCCCTGGCGACATGGCAGAAGTTTCAGGTTGGTTTGCGAATGCTTGGAATGGCCCCGGTTCATGGGAGCGACGGGTGGGACAAGCATGCAACTGCGTGAGCCCTGCCTTGACGCTTCGAGTGGCCTCCCTTGCTGGCGGCATCTTGGAGTTGGGAGTCAGGAATGATTGGACAATCGCACAGGTGAAAACAAAGATGGAGAGGCTCCACGGCATTGCTGCCGATCAGGTGTGCCTGAGCTTTGGAGGAGTCATTCTTCAAGATTTTCTCTGTGTCGAAAAACTTCACTTCAATGATGAGTCTCCACCAGTATCATGGGTCCGGCGGCATCCTGATGTGGTTGAGTGGTTGAAGCGCGTGAATGCAAACTGGCAGGAAATTCACCATGCGCCAGAAAATGTCCGCAAGTCGGCCGAGGTCATCCTTGCGGTACTTCATCAAGCACATCATGCCATCTCTCTTGTCGATACGGAATTGCTTCGCGATGTCCTTTTCCTGCAGCAGGCCTGTGAGATGAGAGGTTTCGATAAAGCCAACGGGCTGTCGCAACTCGGTGTCCAGGTCAGCCTCAAACAATTTTAGCTTTGTTCCGGTTTTGCTGTGTTTTGTAAGTTGCCCCAGCTGATACCGTAGGAGCAGTGTAGGAAGATCAACGACAACGGCTGCATTTCTTTTCAGTTTGCGAGCATAATCTCGCATGAAGCACGGCCACGGCCGAGGCAGATGAAGTGGCTGCGAGATGTAGCTGACATCCACACGCTGCTCTCCTATGCTATCGCGCGGGGGGATGACGATCTCTTCCAGGCGGTGATAGGCTGCGATGTGTATCGGGATCTAGGCGCTCAGGACTGCGTGGATGTGGTGCTGTCAGTGGTCTCTCAAGGCAACACTCCTGAATCTGCCAAGCTTGAGCTGCTGAAGCTGTTGCTCGACAGGATTCCTGCACAGTGCCTCAGGAAGGGTTTCAACAGCAAATTTGTCGCTGACAAAGAGCTTGCAGTGGCTCTACTGGAGTCCGAACGAGCCGCGCAGAGCAACCAAGGGCCTTATCGGCAAGTTAAAGGGAGGCTGCTAATCATGCCACCTGAAATGCAGCGTCATGATTTTGCGTTGGAGGTGCTGCTCTTGCACAAAGATACCTTCTCAAACGGCTCTTTCGGGCAATTGCTCCGTTATGTAGCAGAGGACGAGATTCCACTGGACAAAAGCCTCTCTTTTGTGTTAGCATGTTTGTCGTATGACCAACCTGCTTTTGCTTCGAGGGCATTTGGTCGCGCCGCAGATGGAGATGTCGAATTGGGTGTCCAGATCATGCTTGAAGCGAAGCTTCCGTTGACATCACTTAAACGGGTCTCATCTCCAAACAAAACGGCACACATTCTTGAAGATGTTCTGACGGCCTGGGCACCAGACGCAGCAACGCTACTATCGTTGATAAAGCAGAACGATCGTGAGATATTGCAGCTTCTGGAGTGGACGGAATCCGGAAAGATTTCGTCCATTGCAACCTGCCACTGCCTGCACGCAGTTCTAGAGCTTATACTGGAGCAGGAAGAAGTCCCAGAAGGCACGGCACAAGTTGGCAGGCTGTTGACACGCGCCTTTGTCGCTTGCTCTGCTTTGGATTTGACCGTGGCTGAAAAGCTTCCGCTTGCATGGCTTGAAGACGTGAGACGAGTCGAGAACAGCGAGAAGGTTGTGGCACGAGTTAGTTGGCGCAATTGGAGTGCTTTTCAGAAGAGCATTTGCTTCAGCAGATGCCTCTGTTTTGGGATTTCGCCGTTTGGGCACAAGCGGATGGCATGACCTGCGAGAGGGCCTTAAGCTTGTTGAACAGGTGGTGCAACCTGGCAGGGCAGGGTCCAAAAGAAACATCCTTCACCTTGAAAGTCTTGCATCGGCTGCCCCTGACCTGCATGAACAGGGATGTCTTATGCGACTTGACTGCCTTGCCAGTTCAAGCGGAGAGTATTCTGGCAAACCAGCGGGTAGATGCCCTTCTGCAGGCTTTTAAAAAGACCCAGCAAGCTGCGGGAGAAGCACGACAGCTGGCTTCCAAGGCCCTCGAAGAAGCAGGTCGTACTGGCGACATCGCGCAGAGGGCCAGGGATCTTGCAAGACAGGCTGCCTACGATGCAAGCCGGGCTGCCCAAGACGCCAGGGAAGCTCGCTCGGATGCAAAGAGGGCACTGTCGCGGAGTTGAAGCAGCCTTGTCACTCCGGGCAGAACGTTAAATCGGGATATTGGAGCAATGACGGTGTAACTAATTAGGGTTTAGGGTTGAGAGCCGGTTGCTGTGGAGTCTGGGTTATTGAAACCCACTCTTTGTGTAATATGTACATACATTCTACCAGTAACAACTTCACTTGAAAGGTACACGCAACCCAGGCCCCACAGCAACCTGCTCTCTTAGGGTTTAGGTAAAAGGGTGTTGGACCGTGTTTCAATTTTGGACCTTTCTTTCACGATGCAAGTTGTTTACGGCGACACTTGGTCGCTCGTACTGCTCCCATGTGCTGCACACACCACCCATTTTGGGGAGAGGAGTCTGCTCTGATGCTCGCCGATCTGTACAAAGTAAGAGCCCGAACCGTCGCATCTTTTCAAAAGTGTGCCTCCGGCAGGTTCTGTTGGGCTGATGCAGGAAGCGTTTCTATGGGCTTATGCACAAGAAGTTTTCGAGAAGTTTCACGGGGGGAGTAAACCCTAAACCCTCCGACGGAGACCTTGAAGCCGTGCCTGCGAGAGCGAATGCGCGAGTCGAAACCCTCTATTTTTGGCCGAGGCCAAGCAGCTGGGCGCAACACAAGGTCGGACAGTTCCAGTGCCCATCATCCAGAAGCCGGTTCTGTTGCTTACAACCGGAAGAAGTGGGTGGTGGGTCTTTCAATCGACATGCGTGCTGAAGCTTCAGGATCAATCGACCGAACTCTAGTATCCATGGTTTTTCAACAGACGATCTCCCGATAAAAGTGCAAGAGTATTGCGAGGTGTCGCTGTTGAAAACCCGTCTGGCATGCTGCATGCCAGCAACCACTCCAGCTTTTTCTCTTGAGTTTAGTTGCGTCTAGTTTTGATCATTAAAGGATCGCTCCTCAACGTGCATTTCGTGTTATTTTGAATCCACCCGCGAGCAGGCGGGCTTCTAGTTCCAGTGATCGCTTCTCTGGTGCCTCGCAAGCCACGACTCGCTTGGTCGCTTGCTGTGGTACTTGGGAGGACTGCTTGCCTGGAATGCCGGCGCTTCCTGAGGAAACCGCATCGGCCTCGGCACGTATGCACACAACCACGCAAGGATTCGTTCGGTCCATACAGCATTTGTTTTTCAGCGGTTGCCCACATGCACGTGAGGCCCCGAGGGGTCGACATGCAAACCGCACTTTGCCGCAACACCCCCCCCAACATTCCCAGCAGATCTTGGAATGCTCCTTTGTGGCTCGGGACGACAAACAATAGTTCGGATCAGTCCTTGCTTAGCCCCGACAGATTCAAAGAAAAGTCATAGGCAGCTCTTTATATATCCCATTCCCAAAAGACAGGCGCCCTGCGGAGTATCGCCTCCGAGGAAGGCTCTCTCTCTGCCGTTGGAAATCTATCTGGCATGGCCGTCGGCAGATGAATGGTTGGACAGAGAGACACGGAGAGCGTGCGAGAAGAGAGAAGAGAAGGAGAGCAAGCGAGAGAGAGAGAGTACAGAAGAAGGAAAGGAGGAGGAAGAGTAAGACGAAGCGAGGAGGGCTCTGCGAAGCCACCCGATCAGCGAGGCTATAGGATGGTCTTTGGTGTAAGGAGGAGCCTTGCATTGCAAGGAGGCTTTTCTTGAGGTTTCGAGGGCGGCCGAAAAGCTCCGAGGCGCCAGGGAAGCCCGGGAAGTCCCAGAAAGTACGGGCCGAGCAAGAGAGCTCCGAAGCTTCCTCCCCCTCCTTCGACACAAAAAGGGCCTTTTTGCATGTTTCTTTGCCGTAATGCAGAAAACCACCAAAACAACAAACAGAGCCGACCTCTTCGGCTGTTGGGGAAGGCCGAAGGGCACGGGAGCTCCCAAGAAACTCAGAGGGGGCGTCCCCGATTTCCGGCTTCTCGGAAGTTCGTCGAATGCCAGCGCACTCCCCCTCCGATCCGCCATCCCCATCCTCGGGTGCAGTTCTCTGAACTTTGAGTGCAGGGAACGCGTAGGGCGCAGGGCTCCCTTTCGGATCTGAGCTCCACTCGCGCTTAGGGCCCTGCCTGCTGACAGGCCCTCTGTCGAGCCATTCTCAGCCCAGCCCTAGCCCTTCCCTGATCCCGTAGAAGCTTCAGAAGACCCTGTTAAATGATGTACTATAATAATATACTATAACATATTCCAATATGTACAAATTTACTGTAATATACGCTTCAGAAGACCCGTTGAACTGGCCAAAAATGCCCAGAAGCAAAGGGAGCCGCGGGTGCGGAGGCGACAGCGGCCTCCAGAGACTTGTCGGGTCTCAGGGCTCAGGCAGGCGGTTACAAAGGAGGACTTTCGCGGGGGTTTTCTTTTAGTCTGGGATGCGGCCCCCGGTAGTATTAAGAGTGGTTTGCAGTGAACCAGGTTTGGGGGCTTGAGACAACGAGCGTCGCTGAAGTGATGTTTTAGACTGAATGCTGCCAGCTTCTGGCATGGAACTCTTGGCAGTGTGGCTCTCCCTGATCCCTGAACTGAATTGGTGACACTCCCTCAGAACATCAAGGCATGCTTAGCTTTGCTTCGAGTGGCTACTCGCCCTCTTGGCATCGCAGTGTGTCCCCCGTTGCGAGAGGCATGCCGCGTCGAAGACATGCTGCAGGCAGGTCAGCTTTGAACTCTTCAACCACGGCCACAGCGTGCAGTTTCCGTGTATACCAGCAAAAGTGCCTCATTACATTGCGAGCGCCTCGGCAGGCGAGTAGCAGGATCCTGGGCGACGTGTGCTTGAAGCAGCTGGACCATCTCACGGCACCCTCGGAGCAGGCGTGCTGCACCGCTGGCAGCTGTGCTACACCCTCCGACCACCCACTCAACCCCTCCCGTTGAATCCGGTGTGGCAGGCCCCAAACTTGTCTTTCCGACAGGTGTTAAAGTTCCCGTCTGCAATACCATCCGACCTTAAACCTCTGCTGTCTGACTTGAAACCTGACAGGCAAGGATGCCGTTGGCACGCATTTGTTTCGCGGTCCGCCTCCTGCAGAAGTCTTCACCGCACTGGAGCATTAAGAACCGAAGTTTCTGAGCGTTAAAGCATAGCAGCTTTCAAAACCTGTAAGCTTAGATCCGAACTTACCAAATGTTAAAAAAGCCGGGAGCCCTTCACCCCAAACCAGAAGCCCAACAAATGCCAAATATGATACCCAAGCACCTCAAACGATAAATCGAGCAAACTCATAGCATAAACATCAAGAAATTGAAGTCATAAGCACAACGAGCTCAAACCCTGAATCTACCGAGTTTGGCGAGGCCACCGCCACGGATGCGCCACCGCCAGAGAAACTGTGAGGGTGCCAAGTCGAGGCCTTTAACATAGCGGCTTGACTTGTTTCAATTCCGGATCTAGGGTTTCGCATGTAGGGCCTGGTAAAGGTAGATGCCTGAACAGTTATTCATACTATTCCTTAGGGCCCCTTGTCATAATCGTAGTTCAATACGCCCAGCCGTTACTTAAAGGCCTCTATCCTAGATTCAGGGGTTGAAAGGGTTATGGTAGATGCCCAATGAGTGAGGCATTAGGCTGATCTTTCCTTTGCATATGTCCGAGACTTTGTCGGCTTTGAGTATCAGACGATGGACGGTCGACGTTCGTTTGAGTCAGGGCTAACATAGGGGTCTATTAGGGCTGAAGTCCTCGGGGCTAGGGGTGGGTTGCAGGTTGAAAGTCCGTTTGGGTTCTAGGTTTCGGGCAGCTAGTGGTTTAAGTAAGAGTTTCGGAGTTGTCATGGAGCCCGTATTCAGATTTCATTTGGTGCATGTACGGATGTTTCAGATCCACTGGAAGGGTGAAACAGTTATTTGGCTTGGGAAAGATGTTGTTGCTGGTCTGTTTCTGCCTGGCTTGTTGGTGAATCGTGCATTGCTTCCTTGGTCGGTTGGCGGGTGTGATCGGGAGGTTTGGCGGGTGATCTTCTGTGTGCTTGCGCTTCTTGCGAAGAGGATGGTGGCACTAGACACTTTTCAGTTCACCACTCGTCATAGGGTTTAGGGTTTAGGAAAGGATCCTCATTCCAAGGACGCAAATGGAAGCGGCCCACAGCGAAGGAAGAGCTGGCAGTCATGGAGGTGTTGGTTGCACCGCGCTAAGTGCTGGCGTGTGGGACCAAGCACCGTTTACGGGATACGGGCGGTCAGGGTCACGTAGAAGTTTCGGACCGTTACGGAGTTTTTGTTTGCTGCTGATGTGGTGCTTGGATGCTTGACTCTAGTAAATGGCAAGATGACGTGGTTGGAGACGTTGTTGATGGACTGTTTCTGCCTGGTTTGTTGGTGAATCGTGTGTTGCCTGCTTGGTATGTCGGAGCGGGTCGGTGGGCTGGTGGGCTTCTGTGCACTGGCACTTGTGGTGAAGAGGATTGTGGCGCCAGACACTCTCAGTTAACCACTCGTCCTCTCATCATCTGGCACGAAAGGCAGCTCAGCTGGCCCCGTGTCGGTAACCACTCCGAATACTGGATTGTGGGAGATGGGTGGGGCTGGACCTCGCGGTTGGCTGTGCAGGAGGGCTCATCCAAAGACCCGGTGATGCTAGTGTGGACCTCTTTCTTGGCAGCGCCCTTTGGGGAAGCAATTCCATGGCCGACCCTCCTGGGAGAGCCC